TGTGGAAGGGCGGCGCGGGTGAAGAGCTTGAAGCCGCACTGGGTGTCGCGGAGGCGGGATGTGGCGGGCGGGGTGAGAATCATAAGCACGAGGTGGAAGGATCGCATGAGGAAGTTGCGTAGGGCAGATCGCTTGGTCATGTTAGCATCTTGATCTGGGATTGAGGGGCCTTGCGAGAGGAACATACCTTTACAACAGCCTCGCTGCCTACAAGGTGGGCGCGGCTGCCAATAGCAACACCGCGATGCGAGCCGTCAACAACCTCCTCGCAACCCTGAATCAGACGTCCCAGGTCGCTGAACTTTGTAGCACCGTCGGCGTCGGCAAAGAGCACATACTCGCCACGAGCGTGGCGGAAGCCATGAGTGACGGCGCCACCCTTTCCGCGGTTGCGCTCGAGCTTGATGACGCGTATGACATCGTGGAGCCCCTTCTTCTGCGCAAATTCGAGGCAGACCTCGACGGTGCTGTCCCTGGATCCGTCGTCCACAATCAGGATTTCATAGCCGGTGAGGGCCTCGGAGGGCGGGTTCTTGTAGCGTCGGCGCGGGGTTGTAGGGCTGAGGAGGGGCTTGGTCGGGGAGGAGGGGCGGCCAAAGTTCTCGTCGAGGTATTCAACTGCTTCCTCGAGGGTTGGAAGAATGCGGGTGGCTTCATTGTAGGCGGGAAGCACGACGGTTAGGCGCACGTCCGCAGGGTCGATTGTCGCACCAGAGTCGGGGACATCGCGAGGATCGGTCAAGTGTGCGCGCGCCTCAGAGACGCTGCGCTCGGCGAACCAGCGGTCAAACCAGGAAGGGGCTGTGACCTGGACTGGCTTTCCGGAGGCAGAGGAGGTGAGGTAGACTTTCTCGGAGGGGAGTACGGCGCGGGGCTTGGGAGCGACGAGGTGGAGGGTGATGAAGATCTGTCGAAGGTAAACTGTCAGCTTCAATTGGGTTCAAATGGAGATATTTGGTTGGAAAGTCGAGCTGTACATATTGATGGGGGAGCTAGCTTACAGTAAGAAGACCAGCAGCGGCGAGACTAAGCAGCGCGACGCCAAGGGCCGGCCACGATGCCTGGGTTATCTGATCCATTGTGTAGTTGCGATGGTGACCATGAGCGCTGACTGGTGTCGGAATCGCCTTTGGTCAGTGCCGGCGAGGGAAAGAGTGAATATTGCGAGAATTACAATGAAAAGAAAAGAGGTATCTGTTGCACGCACAACAAAAGAACGAGAAAGAAAATTGCTGCAACTGCCGCAGCTGCAGCTTGAATTCAATGACAATGAGACGAACGCATCGACTGAATTGATGGGTATGTAACATCGGCACCACCGTTTATGGGGTTCTGGGATACGTAATGCGGAACGCGGCAGCTCGCGGGAGCCCCCCTTTTGTGGCTTAACGAGGCTGGCCAATTGGGTTGGACCCCTGGGGACACCTTCCAATGGCAAGAGCCAATTGGCATGGAGGGGTAGGTACCTGTCTTTCCTAGCGTACCTCTCTAGGTGCCTTCCGCAGGCAGGTAGGTCCCCTGAGGGGATGCTCTTTCCCACTATTTTCGGCTTGTGGGGGATAAGGTACACTGTAGCCTCTCGCATTAGCACCTTCCATTGTAAGTTCAGATGGGCCTGGGCAGCATGTTCGATGCAAATGTGACTTTGGCATGAATCGCATTCTTCACCTACAGATACCTATTTTTGGGAGCAATATCGTATCTGTTCGGCACCAGCCGAGAGAGTCTTCTCTTGCATTTTATCAGCGTAACCCTACCTATTCGGACTCTTCTGCACACGACTGGCAGCCGAAGCCTCTTCAACGTATTCTCCGAGTCGCTCGACAACATCTCTTCTCTTGACGGATATCCTCACTGAAGTATTGTGTGTAGGGGCAATGAAGAATGGCAACGACGCGCTTCGAGCCGAGCCACAGTCAATGAACATGCTGCGTCAGTTTCCGACCCAAGACATCGCAATGCTGTACCATGAACAGACCCATTGCAGTCCGCGCCAACCCACATTCCAGGACCACAGCTTAACCCTTACCCCACGCTGCAATGAAAGAAAGCCTCAAATCGCCATACCTCTGCAGATGCCATCTCGTATATACCAAACGACGACAGTCACTCTTAGTCTTTGTCCCAACTTCTCTACCCAGGCCACATACGAGATCATAGAAGTCAACCGTGTTGTCATCAGCGGCACCTGAGCCGCTCGCTGCAAGCCGCCATTACCGGTAAATGCCATGCGTCCCCAAAGCCACGCGACGTCTCATACGCTCGGTCCTGGGAGTGATGTAAAGAGGTGAATCTGGTACCTTTATCCCATCTTACACCTTCGTCACCTCCCGTGCCGTCCAGACAAGACCGTAAAAGTGGCCAGCCATCAATGGGTCGAATGCTATCCAATGACTACATCTGACAAGCCTCCAAGCGAGCGCCAAAGAACTATCGCTAACTTTAAAATTGAGGAACTCCGGAACCCCAGTCTCGCGAGGAGCGCACGATCAACCAGGGGTCATCCAGAGCCGCCCAGGCGGTTCCTTTAAGCCACGGCTTACCAGAGCTGAGCGCCAGTCGGTCTTCCTGTGGAAATTGCTAACCAAGCCCTTCCCGTGCTCTTCCCCGGCGCCTCTCGAGTTCAGGTCTATCCAGATTCGGCCAACTGCTTGATATAGTCAGTTGTAAGCGAGGAGAGAAGAGAGAAGCACATCTGTTCCAACACTCACTCGGTCCCCGAACGCTCCGCCTGAATTTTCCCCTCCTCGATGCAAGTCAGACAGGTAGCCAAGACTGCCAACGTGAGCTGGGCCGGTCTATACCAAACGAAACGTCCGAGAACCTGCATGCAACCCATCCCAACGGAGCCAATAGACCGGGCTGCATTTGCCCAGCATTGGTGTCGCTCTGGGCGCTGAGGAGTGCCTAATCAATGAAAAGGGGATACAGGATTGAAGCCACCGAGGCAGGGCAAAAGCGCCTGAGTTGCACCGCATATGCCATGCGGCGCACAATCCTCCGCCACCAGTCAATATTCCATCGAACCCTGCATACCTTTGTTCGGCCGAAGACTGGCTGACAGACAGGTTGACTCAGCGCGATTATGGCCGCTGCCGCTGCCCATGCCAAAACATAGCAATTGCAATACTGGCTTGGACGATAGTATGAGCCTGCAGCTTCGAGGAAACAGAGCATCAGACGAGCATATCGGCATCGTGCATTTCCGTGTCTTTAAAGGACCTCATCCTTGGTTCCCAGTGACGAGTTGGCTTGTCGTCGACCCTGAGACAACAAGAATCCACCTATTCAAGCATCATCTTGCTCAGCCTGCTTCGCCAAACCTGACCCATCACATCTGCGGAGAGGAGCCTACCCTCAAGGCTCGAGCTACCTCTGGCGCATATGCAAGGACCCGATAACGCGTGTGTTGGCGTTGCCATCAGTCTCCACCGCCATTGTCCAAATCCACGCGTGTGGGGGTTGAGGAGGGGATCGCCTGTTGTATCGACAACTTAAGCAAGACGGCTGGACGCGTCAAACTCGTCTTCGTCATCTACGCTAGACCCATACTCCAAAAGCTCTTCGCTCCTGACGATCCCTGGGCATTGCCTGCCGGCCACGTTCATGTGCGAAACCTCGCGTGGACCCTGACGATCTCTTTCCCTTTTCCACGAGACTATCCGGACAGTGGTATCCGTACATCTTTGACAATCGGCGTGCCCGTGGTACTGGGTCCTGGCCGCTCGGATCAAGCAGTCCGCTCCGGACGGAAAGCGACACCTTTGGCTATTTCTTGCCATTTGCATTGGCCGAATCGTCAATAGCACTGACGATCGCAATTCGCACACGGCATCGTGATCTAGATTGGCAAAGCTTCCCAAGTTCCAGCTGCTCGTTTGCTGTGCTAACCTTACCATCTAGGGAAACACACTAAAGACACTAAACCTTGCCTCTTCTAGTCCTGTCCCGACGGACGACGGCTTTTGGATATAGCTTTATCAAGCTATCAGCCGGGAACAGAAGAGAGTGGGATAGCTAACCTGACGCCACATGAATCAAGGTTTTTCATAAGTCTGGCGACCGATGGGGAAGAATGTCCATCAAGTCCTCCTGAAGGCCAAGCCTTACTAGGCTGGCTGGTAGACAAGTTAGCAAGCGCAGAAAGTCGGGTCTCTGAGCCTTGTGTCTCTCCTTCTCTCTGCCGTGCCGTGCCTCCGAGACATTCAAATTGTCTCATTCACAGAGGTAGAATTTCCACCTTCCTAGGCACGCACAGCATGCTCAGAGTGCCAATGTCTCGCCCACACGCTGACCATGATGTAAGACTCGCTGTAATGTTGTACTGGAAACGTCACTTGAGCTACAAGGGGGCGAGGAAAAGAAAAAATGTGAGCTTATTTTTGTCTCCATCTGTTTCTTTTTCCCTCCCGTCTTATCGATGATCGAAGGTCTCTCGTTTCGAGACCTTCCCCACGTGAATGCGGATCTTTGTCTCGAGTCGAAATGAAGCTCGACATCAGTTCATGCAAAGTGCAAGAAAAAAAAAAGGTAGACATATTGAGACTTTGTAGATGTAGGCTTCGATATTTCATTGCGCTGGTCGCTATTCTGCCAACGTTGTAGTAATGGTAGTAATATGAGAGGTAAGGAAAGTGTCTATGTTATCGGTATAAGTTGTGGTCATGATATGGTCATCAAATAAATAAGAAAACAATTGGACCCGTCCCGGATCCGACCCTGAAGATGTTCAAGTCCCTGTGAAGTATCCAGTGTTGCTGAAGTCCAGCGGCAGCAACTCTGAAAGATGCCCCCTGTCGATTTTTTTTTGATCCCAAAGTGTTGCATGATTAAAAGCCAAGAGACCCCGAGTCTCATGGCGTCATTGTAGTAAGACATTATCCTCAAACGCCCGCGCAAGTTTTAGAAAGAGGCTATAGTTTGGCACCCGAATCCATGAGCAAATGTTGACGTAGGAAAGACGTGTTTGTATGGTGTAAATGGTGGCGTCTTAGTACCGTTTAAACGGCAACGGCGGATGAGCTCTTTGTTGACCAACGGCTCTTCTTAGTCAGCTTGGAGCCGGCTTGCTTCGAAAGGCGCTTTCCGGCCTTGTTGCTAGAAACGACTTCAGACGGCGCGGCGCTGACCATTTCGACGGCGACGGCGTTGTTGATGACATGCGGCGGTGTGGTGTCGCGGCGAGTGTTCTCGTAGGGGATGCTGGCTACGCTGACTGCCTTCTCCGTGTGAGAGTCGATGGTCTCCAATTCGGTGAAACGCGTGACCTTGGACTTGGAGGTGCTGCGGCGGTCCTTCTGTTTCAAGGCAGACGGCGCAGCTGCAACAGGTTGCGGGGCGTAGGTATAGGAACCGCCTTCTTCCTCTTCTTCGACGGACTCATACACTGGCTCGGGCGTTACACAAGCTGCTGGTGTAGTAGCAGCCGACGATCGTCCGGACATGGGCGCCGAGAAGGGGGCGCCGGTGTTGATATTGAAGTTGAATGAAGAGAATCCCGAGGAAGAGCGGACGCTAGCAGTCGAGGCGGCTGACGAGGCAACCATGTTTTGCTGGGTTGCCGGAGAGTTGTTGAACTGCATCGGGGGAAGAGACGTCATTGCCGGGATTGCACTGAATCCACGCATCGACGGCGGCGGCTTGCTTCGGTCTGTAGAAGGCGAAGAGTGCTCGGCTTTCGGAGAGCCATCGGCACGCTCCGATGCATCCGATGCCCGGCGAGAACTCGGGTGAAGACGGTGGGTGTGAACAGCAGCGGCCGGGTTTCGAGGTGCCTGTGAGGCAGCAGGTGGCATGGAAACATGACGAGCGGGCTTCATCTCCAGGTCCTCCTGTGAGCTGGTCGAGCGGCTTGAGCTACCCGTGGGAGATTCGGCTGCTAGGTATTAGTCTCTGGCTCTCTTTCGAACTGGCAAGATCATCTAGTGTGACCTACCTTTGATGGATGACGGACTGTTGCGCCCCGAAGCATACGACCTATCAACCTCTTTGCCCTTGAGTGAACCCTTGAGTGAGATGCGGCTGCCGTCGGGGACTCCGTAGATGGAGTTGGTATTGCGTTCCTGCCAGTAAGGCATCGGGGGCGGACCGCCGCTGTAGCTGTATGCCCTAGGCATAGTGCCCATCGGGCTGGCGTGAGCGGAAGGATAGGTGACGTGCGAGAGACTGCTTGAGACGCGAGGCAGACTTGGGCCGGGCATTCTGCTCAAGCCGCTGGCGGCCATCGCACTTCGCCGTCGGTTCTGTTCCATAATCCTGGGTCGGTCCTCATGCTTAAATGCTGATGGTGCTCCTGCAAGCGCGTCGATGGCGGCATGAGTAGGAATGTGCTTGTACGGCTGTTTCGGTGCCTCTGCGGCCTTCTCTGCCTGCTTTTGCTTGTGCTCCTTGGCCTGTTGTCTAGACTTCTTGAAAAGCGAAAAGACAGCCATCTTGGTCTTTTCTTTGGTACCGTTGGGCCCACGATGATAAGGTTGTTTAGCAGAGACGGTGCGAGCCGTCAATAATGAACCACACTTAGACTAGTAAACCAACAAAATCTCTGTTGGAAGAGAAGAGACGGTAACCGCTACGGCTCCTTGTGGTGGGAGATGAAAAGATAATAAAGGCAACGGCCGGGGTACTGTTGTTCTATGACTGGCAGGATTTCGTATAAGTCGAGCCCGGGCAGCTGGTTTGGGCTATACTCAGGCCGCACAGGTGAAACTCGGCCGGTACCACAGACCAAATCCCAGCTCGGATGACTCTCTGACTTGGCGATATGGGAAAGGTGTCGGCTTGGCGAAAAGTCGTCCGTTCACTTTCACTAGTAACGGTCGTTATGGGAGATGGCTCGTGCCTCTCTGGCAGGTGGACGGATGAATGTTGGGAGGTTGAAGCGAGAGTTGGACGAGTATTGTACCACAGGTAGGGCAGGTTGGGGAGGGATATAAGCAAATAACTATCAAGCAGCCTTAGGTAATGCTTGCCCGGAAAAGCGGATTGCAAAAGCCAAAGTAATATGGATAGATGAGCGAGAGTTGGGAGGAACACCAGGCAGCTCAGAAGGGAAGCTGGGTTCGGTCGGGAGCCCAGGTTCCTTTAAGGCGTGGCGGTGGTGTGTGTCTTGGGGTTGGACATGGGATATGCATGGGGGTGGTGGCAGAAGGAGATGGGATGGGTGCATGGACGACGTGGATTGGGACAATTCACAAGCGGGGGTCCCAGACGACGTGCAGCTCGCTCGTTTTCTCTGCAGCTTCTGGCTCCCGAGGGATCCAATGTGTGTCTTTTCTTGGCAACCAAGGCGAGTCCAGCCTTCAGGACGATCCCGACTAAGATGCTGGAAGATGGCGCCGCCGTCAGTCCCGCTTCTTGGGTAGAGGAACCCGTACGATAGTGTCAATGGTGTCGCCGGGCTGCCGTCAGACTTCAGTACGTCTTCGTTCGTCCCGGTCCATCTGTCGATACCCCTGAGTCGCACGGTCAGGTCCAGGTCCAGAAGCTGACTGAGATAGCGTCCTTGGACGACTCGCGGCTTGGGATTCAAGAGAGGACGCGAATGCACCAACAAGAAGGTCACTAGCCTAAGCTTTTGACAGATTTGGAACCAACGCTCGGCACCGGCTTCTGAGGATGTGTAGGACTGGACCGGCATGGGATGGGACCTGTGACCATCGTCTCCGAACCATGGTGACAATCTACTCAGGCTGGTATTGGCCTCGCCTCGTTTCGTGTCATGACCAAAGTTGGGTTCAAGTTTCTCAATGCCTTTTCCCAGCGCCGCACAGCAAATCACAGGTGCAGCGGCTCAGCAAGGACTGGCCGCCCGGTAAATATTGGCGGCTGTCTATTCTGCTTGGCTTGATTGGGCCCGTAATACGTGTAGATTTGTGCAGTAAGGTAGAGAGACGTTTGGCGTTCTGTGCCTATTTTTTTTTTTTTTTTTTTTTTTGCTTGACCAAACGGCCCTCGTATTCGAGAGACAGGTAGCGGTACCTTGTTGCAGGGATGCGCCGGCTCCAGCACGAGCGTTGTGATCGTGGCAGTAAAAGAAAGTCTTTGGTTGGAATTCGATAGCGTCGGTGGGAGACAAGCCGCTAGACGACGCCCAGGTACCCAGTACCAGATCATCAGCACGGAAACTCGCGCGGACATTCCAGGGCCCCGATTGATGGCGCTGGTGTCGGCGTTGGCTTCACGTTTAGGTTGTTCCCCATGAGCGGAGGACCCAGCCCAGCCGCACTGGACAGGGGCACGTCGAGCTAAAGTTGCTGGTCCGCTTCAGGGGAATCAGGGCCCGGTGATGGATAGGTACTCAGTGAGGGTGGATGATGCCGATGATGAATTGGCGAATTGCTGATGGTGTGCCAATGTGCCCCTCCCCCCGTCCGTCCCGTAAGTCTCGCACTCCCACCACCAATACCGCTACCATGAGCGTGTGCCTGACCACCACCACGCATCGCCCTCGTCGTCGCCGCGGTCGACTAGGCTAGGTCAAGTAAGACCAGCGGTCGACTGTCTGACGTTGTGTCAACGGGTCTTTTGTTCTCAAAACCGACCATGGCAACGAGCGGGGGAAGCAGAAAGCTACTGCAGCGTGGTCTATCTTTGGGCTTCCGTCGTAGGTGTCCTATACGCCACTCGGCATGTATTCCCATTACATCAACGACAATCCTCTTACTTGTTACACGAGACCGAAACTTTGGCTGGACGTGACGATCTTGGTGTTGTTTTGCGTTCTCCGTTTTCTGCCTTCTTCTTCTTCTTCGTCGTTGTCGTCATGTAATGTCGTCAGTCTTCTTCTGTATAATCAAGACTGCTGGCGTTCGAAAAAGGCAGTGAAGCAGTCAGCGACAGCGTCCCGGCGGCAACGAAGTGCTCCTTTGAAAAAGGTTCGGCCCCATGCCGAACCAAGGCCCACAGGTCTCACCCCAGGGCGGGCAGGTCGCAAACGAGACCATGGAGCGGCTGGATATCGCAAATTCCCCTTGGTCGACGGCGGTTTGCCATTTCCTGCTTTTTTGTGGGCATCGTAATCGTTGAAAGTGTTTTGGCGTGGCATGGAGTGTGAGCGTGGGAGGGTATCATGTATGTAAGATTATACCCCTGTCCGAAGCTTGCTTGTGCCGGTGGATAGCCAGCAGGGCTAGGCAGCTGGTATGAACATGGATTGCATTAAGATGTGAGACGGGTTGGCGGTACGGCCACACGGCGAAGAGACATATCGACGAATGTAAGTTGCCAACTTGCTGGGGGGTCGGATGGCGGGAACCATCTGCCGCCACGGACTGCCCTAAGGCAATGTCACTGCTGCTCGTACGTACCTCCGTACAGAGTACCAGTCAGGTAGGTAAGGTAAGGTAGGTACCTAAGGTAGGTAGGCCTGCTGGAGCAGGAAGGCATGAAGGCCAGGCGAACCGAATTTGACCTTGCGAAGGAAGGAATTATCGAATAGCAATCTTGCCTCCTTCCATGTGGTGCTCCTCGCGGGTACGTACTTACCGTATCCTCACTCAATGGAAGGTACCTTAAGGTAGGCAATGTAAGATAAGGTATTATGCATCATTGCGATTCATCCATCGTGCTTACCTTGCCTGTCTTATTGCAAGGTGCCTCATGTTGTGGAACATTCAGGTGTTCGACTCATCTTATCTTTTCATCGTCTTGGATCCAGTCTTCATCCAGTAAGTTCGGTCAAACATACATCTGCATATATACATCTCTGCTCCAACAATTGGTTCGTCTTCTTGCACTCAGAGTCAGTGTGTCTCTCAACTGCAGGGCATACCTCGCCAAAGCGGAACTGACAGCCGGACCATGCGAGGATTCCATGTCCCGTTTTCGACTGTGTATGTCGAGCTCAGTTCAGCCTGGTGAGCCGTGACAACCTATCAACGCGCCTCATATGCCGGCCGTCTTGACTATCAAGAACTAACCGCGGATGGTGCCTGGTTCCTGGTGCCAAGTAACCCGTCTCAAACTCACCTGGATTGTCGCTGTCATTCCCTCGGACACTTTCACAATCCTTGACGCAAGTACCAAGCCCAGCTCATCACAATCGACCAGGATGACTCAATAATTCCGAGCTCGCATGTTAAGCCCTTCATTTCACCTAATGGATTACAGATAACACCAGCCTTTCTTACCGCACAATCTGTATAAACGCCCAAACAAGCCTGCATTGCGTGCTCTCTCTGCCTCTCTTACTCGGCACCGGCACGCCACGCCACGTACATGCACACCGCAACATGGCAAGAGCAAGAAGAAGAAAAAATTCCCCGACCGTCGCCATCATCCTCGTTCGCGTTTCCGACGCACATGCTCTTGCATGATACCTAGTCCAACCCGGTTGCTTGGACCAAAAGCAGACGATACGGATAGACAGCACGCTGAGCCGGGGGTGTGCTCAACGTTCGGCCACCTGAAAGCAGCAGCAGTCAATGTCAAAGTACGTGCAGCGCGCCCGTTTGGGTCCATTCGTAGCTCGCTTTGGGAATATGGAGCTTTTCAGCTCACCTACCTATTTCCCTATCTTGAACACCCCCCCAGCAGCCTGGCCCTAGAAATATTGATTTTTCAGAGTTCCTAGCCTTGTCGAGGTGGGAAATACTGCCCTCCAAGTCTGGCTGGAAACATCCCGCGCTGAGCTTGGCTATCGCCGCGAGATAGACTCGTCATGCAGGCTACTGTCGCATCACCGGGCGCCGGATTCAACCCTCTGGTTTACTCCGTACACTACGGAGTACCTCTTCCTTATCTTTGGGATCCCTGCTTCCACGGGGAGTAAGGGTAAAAAGCCACGGGACTCGTGTAAACTTGACTTCCGACGTCGAAAACATGTCCAGTCAAGTAGACTCTAGAAGTCTCTCGGTCTGGGCCTTCGAAGGGTGGCTTTTCAGCCTCACATACAAAGCAGTGTGATCATGAGGGCAGAATCTGTCCTACCAAGCATCCTCGTTACCCATGTGCAACCAAAATCTATAGACTTATGTGGCTTGGTACCGACAAACTGGTCGGCGAAGGGATTGATACCTTCAGCCAGCCGCAGCCGCAACCAAGCTTGAAAAAGGCCTAGCTTAGCCGTCTTGGTAGAGTTTCGAAAATTGGTGAAGGGGGTTTGATGATCATTTGACGAGTCTAGCTTTGGAAAGCTCTACGGAGTACTATGGAGCTGCCGTGATAATGCCGGACGGGCGACCGAACCGCCCCCCCCCCCCCCCACAACTCGCACGCTGCCACGCACTCAGTTCGCAGTCAGCCGCGTCGAAGCCATCCAACCTTGACCTAGCTATCATGTCTCTCTTCCAGGGTGCGTGGCACGACTGACCGTGGGAGTGTGTATCTCTCAGAGAGTCTCAGTCGGCCACGGCTACGGGCCCACGGGGGGCTATTTCAAGTTCGTGGCTGGACCGTCCCGATCAACGCATGGGTGGGTGGTGCCTATCAATATTCTGCGCCGTCCAATACGACCCTGCCATGGGATAATGTTCCGTTGCATTTCATGCCCCGGGGCTATCTCACTCACCGAACCGTAATCATGTCAGGTAGCGAGTGTATGGGAAAGGCAAGTCGTATACCACTTTCATCGGCGATAACACGCGAGAAGTAAGGACACATCACATTCGAAAGAGATGAGGTCATTCACGTCAAAGTCAGACTCGCATGCCGCTGCCACGCTCGAATCGCTCTTGCCACACGTGCTTCCGCAACATTTGAACGGCCGTATCGAGTTGTGAAAAACACGAGGTAATTTCGTCCAGTCTGACATGCATAGGTAGCAGACCGCCGTCTCCTACGCCTATCAGTACGGCACAAGCACCTCCGGAAAGCGACATAGATAAGATGCTGAGTCGAAGCGCCTTTGAATCTCATTCCCTTTTCTTGCCTTCTTCATCCTCCTCGTCCTCGTCCTCCTCCTCCAGGAAGGAGAAAAACTTGTTTGTCCTGCTTCATCAAGATTGTTGGGACTAAACAAGGCGCCGCGCTAGGTACCTGTTCCCATGTAAGTTGACAAGGACCCTGGTTTTTGGCGCGCACCCCCGAAAGGTGGAATTTTTCCGTTCGGCGAGCCTTTTCGCCAGTCAGATGGATGCCAGCAGACAGTTCCCGGCCCGCCCGGGTTGCGGTTCCCACCCCCCTGCTAGGGCATTCAATGATTGTTCCTAGGCTCCGACGCCGGTCGTTAAATAATGATTTCCAGGTTTCCGAGTTGGTTCAGGCTGCAGAGAACCCTGCTCCAGCCTCCGAGTTGTGACTATGCACAAAGTACTGGATCTCGCTGTAAGAGAGGTCTTGTCGAGATTACTCTACGTGCACTGATGCAGTGGCAGGAGTGAGAACCGCAAAGAGAGCAAAGTGGAAGTGCTGCAACACAATATCAGCCTCTGCGATTGTCCCGTTTCCTCTCGATGCTGTCTAAATTCTTGGCGCAGGCCGATAGTTGTCTCAATTCCCACAACTGTCGCTATGCGAACCCTGACGATCAGGAGCACGCGTCAACCGGTACTTGCTTAGTTTGCTCGAGGTCCCCTGGAATGCAGCGGATCAGAGTTCGAGGGGTTGACAGCTGACAGATTCGGAAGAGTTTCTCGCTTGTAAGGGCCGTAGCTCGCGTACCATCAAGTACCCCGATCCGGGAGTACCGGCTGAGCCTAA